TAACCAACAAACCAAATGTTTGGTTTTCTTGGAGTGTAGATCACACTCTTCACATATACCCGCAACCTCTGCTTTTTGATCTCTGCACTCAAATACTAAATCGACTACCTCACCCTACGAGCCAACCATCTCGAGTCCACCATTGTGACCTTGAAGGACTTCCATCCACCCCAACTTCTCCGATCAATGGCCACTTGTCGTGGAGGCACTCATCCTCTTCAAACATTATCTCGCTCCGCACCTCGTCTCCATCACCAAAAACTTTGAGCTCAATGATTACGCCCCGCCAGACTCTATATCCATATCTTTATCCATTCCCAATCGAATCTCTGATCCTCCCATCAAAATACCCAGTTCTCCCCCACTTAGGGTTCGAACCATCCCCAATTGGCGCACCAGAAATCATCACACCGACTGTTTTCCACCAGTAATCATTACACCCCATTTGGAAGGTGCTACTCAACGCTCGATGATCTCCCGACAGAGATCGAGCAACTCCAAATGCCCTAAAACTCAGATGAAATCCTCATAACTTCCCACCATAACTGTCTCTAGTCAATCAGACTCTCACACCATTCAAATAGCACAAAGGGTGGCAACCGTAAGCCTAAGAATCAGCTTTGAAACATAAAGCTTTATCCTTGGGACCAAAAATGTCCAAAAACACAACATAAGAGATCTAAGGAAATAACCACCAAGTTTAATACTTTATACCTCAAATGAGAGCCAAAAGTTGGTGTAGTTCTGGATCTAAAAGCTCTATCTTATTCAATAAGTCTTCAAGAACGAACACCTTCTTCAAAATCCCCAAAATACTCCTCTAATGGCCATCCAAGCTCCAAAATCACTCAAATGAGGGATAAGGGTCAATTTCTAGGGTTTAGAGGGATGGAGGCTGAAAATATTAGGGTTGGGTTATGAGATAAGGAGCTTAAATAAGGTCCAAGACCCTAAAATTGGGTTCTGATATGACTTGCGTACGCCCAACGTATGTACGGTACGCCCAACGTACTTTGAAGAACATTCGCGACCATCCTGGTCAGTACGCCCAGCGTACTCCAAGGTACGCCCCGGGTACTGCCTTCACTAGTACGCCCCGCGTACTCGGCTAAGCCTGAAAACCACGAAACTTCCGAAGGCCATAACTTCTTCGTTATAAGCCCGATTCCGACGATCGTTATATCTAAGGAAAGGTGGCGAGAAGCCCTACACTTCTATAAAATCATATCTTTCTTAATACCTTCCAAAAAAAAGTCCATTTTGCACAAAATCCTGAATTGACACTTTATCGAAATACCCTTAGGCTCCAAAACACGAACCGAACACCCGGATCACTTCTAATACATCACCTGCACCCAAATGGGCCTAGATCTTACCTTTTCAAAAGCCCTAATCCTTATGATGACAGATCTTCGGGCCACAGCCTCAGACTAGGAATCGATTCGGAATAGGATGTTACATAAAGTAACTTAAGAACAAAAAGAATATAAGAGAGACTGATTGACTGAATGATTCTTGATTGATGTGAAAAATGTAATATTAATAATTTGGTATGTTACCCTTTTATCCCCTTAATTCAAAATCCTTATCTTTTTGGTCCTTAGCTAGTATGCAGGGGGGTACTCTATGAGTATGCTTAGCAAACTAGCTGTAACATGATGTATGTTAAACGAACTAGTTTCAATCCTAACAAATTTACATAAAAACAAACACACGCAAGCAATGTACCTATCGATAGCAGTTTAGTTTAAGCAAATAGGGTATCGAACACAGGAACGATAACAGCTAAATTAAATACTAAAATTACCTAATTAAAACAAACAATAAAAAGAATGGGGTTTCTCTAGTTTTGCAAGAATAGAAACTTAACAATAAACTAATGCTTAAGCAAAAACAACTAACAACTAAGGAAATTGAAGATAACTAGATTCAATACTAAAAGAGAATTCTGTTTAGGTTCGACTCACTTGTTTCTATAGTTGATTTTATGGCAAGTGCAATGGATTATTTTGTCATTGGCTACCGATAAATAAAACAAATTAATTTAAACAGTGACCAATTAGTTAAACTAATGAATTTCCTAATATTTTGATTCGGGATAAGTAAGACTTGTAGTTTAGCTAATTAAATGATTAATTTAATCAACATCTTGTATGGTTGTTCATCACACAAGCTTACACATTAACTTACATGTTTTCTATTAATCTTTGGTTCATATTCACTAATACTAGACATATAATATTGTTTTCACATAAATCATATGAAACAAGTAATTAAGAGGATGTTCATGCAACTTAATAGACTTGGTAATTAACAGAAAAATAGTTATTATCAAAACATAAGGATCGATTACAAGCTTAGCAAAACAGTTTTCACCAAATCAAATAATCCACACCATAAAATCAAACTATATTAACAAGCTAATCTACCCTAAACAGAAGTACTTTCAAACATTTAAAATCGGAAGATATTTTAGGGATTTGAATATCATAGGTTATTTTTCAAGTATTATGATACTGAAAGGTATTTTGGTATTTTGGCTGAAAGAAGTTTATGTCGTATGATATTTGGTTTGAAGATTTTACTTTTTTAATATCACATCTCTAATTTGGATACAGACTTATTTTAGCAAGATACCAATTTTAGTTCACGAGTGTATTTGGAAGCATAAGATAATCTACACAAACAAGTCAGATATATTATTAAAATAACAAAAAATAAAATGTGGTACTGATTTTGTCTTTAGTTCACTTGTTTAAAAGCACCAATGTTCCTTTTGAAGGTTTTAGATCATTCATATGTCGCTTTTGTTTGATTGTCACTTGGTTTGTCTTTTGTGTATCAATTCGTGTATGATCGTTACTTCTTCTTAACAAAGTTAAGAAAATGTAATAAAAACAAAGTATAAACACCAAACCAAATTAATGCAAAACAAGAATTTCAATGTCATTCAACGTCCACGTCATTCATGTTATTACTTCACACGCGATGCCATTATATTGAGCACACTGCACACGCAACTCAAAAATGCATTGAAACCCACGTAGAGAAAAATGATCATGATACTTGTGACACATATGCCATACCCAATATTGCTTTACTATTGAATGTTCCATAAACTTTGTGTTATTAATCTTCTTTACCATAGTTTGGCTATATGGAGTGGGAGGAAAATTGGTGTTCCTTGTGGTAGTGAACACCACCCAAAGGGTAGCGTAATGGGCATGTTCGACTGTGATTCGAACCATTGCTGACCACGGTTTGCTTGTTCTCTCTCTCTCTCTCTCTCAAATGTACAACACATTAATACATAGAGTACAAGCATATTAAGATGATGTAGATTGGTGATAATTTCCTACATGTACGGTGACAAAGTAGCAGTGATGTGATACTTCTAAAGTATCAAAACGAAAATATATAGATGGAACACAAATGGTGATAACTTGATTCATAATTTAATTGTGTAATGTTATCTAACATGTTTATATGTCTTTTAATAGAAAATGAAATATTTAGACTAGTTACAACAAAATGGTATGTGTCAAGTAATGTCTTTATATCGGGGTATGTAGAAGACTAGAAGAGAATATTACGCTAAAGAATATTCAAGGAATTTAATTGGCATCTTCTAAAATTGATTATGATGGTCCATCCTTTTCAAATACAAGTAGACTTTAACGAAGCAACAAATTCAAAAACTTTCAAATCATTGAACGTCAAACTCAACTGATTTTCTCAAAGTTCTATATAGATGATTTGACTTTTTTTATTTTTAAGAAAAAACATAAACATCAAAGAATGATTTAACAAAGTTAAGAAGAAGTAACGTATAAGAAGAAGTAATATATTTCAATCAAATAAAAAAATTATTTTTATTACATTTTATTAACTTTGTTAACAACAAATAAAAAAAATTACTTTTACCCTAGATCATCCCACATAAAACTTGTTAGGCCCTTGGTCACCACAAGACCATTTGTGGCATATGTGGAGCATCGGCCACGATTGTGTACACCAATGAGATGAGAGAGTTTGACGTTAATTTTTTTTATTATTCATTTATTAGTTTGTAATTTGTGGGATCATGACTATAAAATTAATTAAACTTTTATAATTTTTTTTATTAGTAGTATTAGTTAAGCTTGTATTTCAATCTCCATCGATAAATCTGTTAAAGTTATTATAACTTCAAATTTAACATATAATTAGAAAATATAAATTTGAATTTTGAAATGAGTTATCTAATATATCTGCATAACAAATAGCATAATATTAATGAGAAGTATTAGAGTGACAACTGGTAAAAAAAATTAAAACTATTCATTTATTAAAATAAGGATTATGGCTTTTAACAGCTAGTTTTAAAAAAATCAATATTTCCTATAAATCATTTTACTATAATTTTTTAGACCATTTTTTTTGCTTACTATACAAACCAAAATACATACACAAACATACCATGGAACAATCTTTGGGATAAAAGGAAGAAATCGTGTTAGCTCGTGTTTGGATTTCGGTGTCCGGCGATCCTTTGTAAAAAAGAGAAATATTTTGGTAATATATTTGAAACCACTTCCACAACGATTGTTGGGTTAATCGGTTGGTTCAACGGGTCATGAGTCAGATCTAGTTAATGATCTAGGAGTATTTGATTGAGTCATGCTGAAATAAAGGGATTATACCCATGTTTTAGAATGTGCACAACAAAAAAGGTCAAGTTTAACCAAGTTCATAGAAATCACGAGATATGCATGTGCATGTTTAGTATAAATAGGTGTCTAATTTCCTTTGTTCTGTATCTCTATTTTATATTGAATTGAGAAGTTTTCTCCCAGCAAGTTTACTTTCAGATACATACGTGACTAGTGTGTGTGTTGTGTGTGTTTATTGTTAAAGACATGTGCCAATAATTGGTATCAGAGCTTAGGGCTCGTGAAGAGGAACAAGGCCGGTTTGAAAGTCGGTTTCACAAAAGGGGGTAGCCCTTCGTTGCAAGGCAGATGCAACAGGAAACCGAGGTTTCAGGTGAAGAGGGTGATGGATTGTCGGTAGTAGGTTGATCACAATTGGTCTTAGCAGCTGTTATCGGTGAAATTTGCAGGTGAAGCAACCGATAGATTGAAGGTAAAACAGAGGCTATAAAGGTGTTGGTGTTCGTCACTAGTTAATAGCGGAGAAGGTTTTTCAGCTGATGGGTTTCTTTGTCGGATGTCATTAGTTTTTGGTGGTGTCCGACAAGGTGGTGATTCTGGCGGTAGGTTGTGGGTATGTCACTGGAAAATGGAGAGAGTTATCGGAGATGCATGAGAAAACGAACAGAAAAGATTCGTCAAACAGGTGGATTTGGGTTTGTTTCGTTTTTGCAGGTGAAAGAAGACGAGAAAAGCGAGTTGCTTTGTTTTCTTGATTGGTGGAAGACGGCTCTCGTTTCACAGAAGTGTTAGGTGAAAACGGATTATGTGTGGTGACAAACAACAATCGGGTATGGAGAACTTGGGACGTGACTGAGGTGAAGGTCCGATGTCCGGGAAAAGTCAGGATTGGATGAAAACTTTGGACGTGACCGAGGAGGAAGTCGGGTGTCCGGGAAAGGTCTTGAATCGAGATGAAAAGAGGGTGATTAAAGGCTGTTGTGAACAACGGATTAAAGGGGTGATTGTTGAGTTAATCGGTTGGTTCAACGGGTCATGGGTCGGATCTAGTTAATGATCTAGGAGTGTTTGATTGAGTCATGCTAAAATAAAGGGAGTATACCCATGTTTTAGAATGTGCACAACAGAAAAGGTCAAGTTTGACCAAGTTTATAGGAAATCACGAGATATGCATGTGCATGTTTAGTATAAATAGGTGTCTTATTTCCTTTGTTCTGTATCTCTATTTTTTATTGAATTGAGAAGCTTTCTCCCAACAAGTTTACATTCAGATGCATATGTGACTAGTGTGTGTTGTGTGTGTTTATTGTTAAGGACCTGTACCAAAACGGTATGAGAAAATGTGATTATTGGGATCTCAATGGACTTTCGTCAATATGACATATTATGAGGTTAAAAATAACCGAGTTCAACCACATTTACAAGGAATTCGAAAACACACATCCAAATACAAGTAACAACTTCGAGGTAATCGATGTGGCACTTAAACAATCCAAGAATCCCAACTTAACCCTAAACACTTTTCCTATATCAATTCTTAATATGAGATGTGTAATTTTCAGATAAGATTTTGAAGATGGAAATTATATTTTGTACTAAATAAATTTCCTTTTATATAAATTAATGTATACTTTTTTTCTATGTTTTGATTTTGTTTGGGTTTCTTTTTTTTTTTTATTATTATTATTTTAATCTATGTAAGGTTTTAGTTTAACATATCTAGTAAAAGAACCCTAGATCGAATTATAGAAAGCCTAACATATCAACTGGTTAATTAATGGTTATGATTTCGATATGAGACTAGTTAAATAAACCTTCAAAGGGTGATGCTAACCAAACTCCAATCTTAACGCATTAGGAATTCATATGGAATCAAATTTTGTTGTATTCATATGACACCAACGAACAACAAAAATTATACCACCACCAGGCTATGTTTACATATGCTTAAAAGATTACTTGGATCGAGTTAAACAAATACATCTCATATCGGTTGAGCCAAATCCAACACATCTTATAAAAAACCTACAAGTAAACAATGTATTTTAAGACTACATTTAATTTTTATACTCAAAAAGGTCTTTCAGGATTTTATTTTATTTTTTTACTAAAAGGAAAAACACCTAATACCTAAAAATCGAGAATCAGCACCAACTCTGGTCCAAATTTTAGAAACTGGTCCAGATCCTGAGTTAGGTACCCCGTACCCGGTCGATTTTAATAAGCGAAACACGGTATTAAGTATACACAGAAGAAGCAATAAGAAATAGCAAATTATATAATAATAATATACCCAAATTACATGCATCTTACTAGTTTACGCAGCCATAAAACCCTAATAATAATAATAATTGCCCATTTGTCCACATAACTATTATTCACACAAATCCAACAAAGCATAAAACTAGGCTTCCACACTTTCAGCCTGAAGAAGTCCCTCGCGAATTTGAGAAGCGATATCCTTAACAGCACCAGGGCCATGAGGCAGAAAGACAGCATTGGATTTTGAAGAAGCTCCAATCTCTTTCATGGTATCGAAATACTGTGTCAACAACACCATGTCCATAACATCTTTGGAAGATGTCCCAGGGACATTTTCCGAAAACGCAAGCACGCTGTCCCTCAACCCATCCACGATTGCTTGGCGCTGCCTCGCAATACCCAGCCCGGATAAGTATTTCGACTCTGCTTCTCCCTCTGCTCGTTTGATTTGTAGGATCTTCTCTGCTTCTGCCTTTTCGCTTGCAGCTACTCTCATTCTTGCAGCTATTGTTATATATATTATTCTAGATGTTAACTCTTGTTTCTTTGTTTATATCACAATTTGCAACTTACTTTACTCTTGTTAACAATTTGTAAGAAATACCAACTTACTTTATTCTTATTGTAGTTATAATTTAACTTCTTATTTATCATAAATGACCCTATATTTTGGGTTTTCTCCAAATTAAAACCTCGGCTTTATTTTTTTTTTTTTTAAAAAGACTTTGAATTTTTTGACCCTTCGGTTTTAGACAATTTTTTCCGAAAAACCTCAAACTTTTTCTTTTTTTGTCAGATGTGAGGGTTTTTTCGGGAAAATAAAATCTAAGGTTTTTTTCAAAATAGTAAATTACTGAAATCGTCCCTATGGTTTGGTCAAATTGCACGTTTGGTCCCTAACTTTTTTTTTGCACTCGGATCATCCTTTTGGTTTGATTTTATTGTGTTTTTCGTCTCTTACATACATAAAGTTAGGGACCAAACGTGCAATTTGACCAAACCATAGGGATGATTTCAGTAATTCAAAAAACTTGTGGGTTTTTTTCCAGAAAAATTGTCTAAAACCGGTAAACCTACTAAAAGGGAAGGAAAAAAATAGAAAAACACAAGGTCTTCTTTTGGAAAAAAAAAAAATGAAGTGGATGTTTATTTCGGAAAAAAACCCAAAATATAGGGTTGTTTACGATATTAACCCTGATTTAAATGCTAGTGAAATTCGTTTTGTATTGGAATGAAATTGTTATAATAGGATAGATATTTCAAATCACAATGTCGTAATTGATTGTATTCCAAATACGAAGTAATTTTCATTTTTCAAAAATGTAATTGATTTTATGAAAATCAAACTAAGGAATGAATACCTGCGTTGATTTCATTCATCGATCTTTTAACATGTTGATCAGGCTCAATGTCAACGATCAAAGTTTGTACAATTTCGAAACCATACCCAGACATGGCCTACAAAAATTAAAATCAGAAAGAATAAAACATTTCCAAAACCATAAAAGTTGCAATAAATACAATTTTACCTTTTCAAGCTCCTCTTCCACACCTCTAGCTATGTCATTCTTCTGAAGGAAAACATCATCCAATGGCAGCTTAGGTACACTTGCCCTAATTACTAACAACATTCATGTAAAAACACACAAAGTGTGTTCATAAGTCAGAAGCAATACCAAATAACTCAAAAAATAATAATAATAATAATGAAATGACTGATATACCCATTGGATCTTACCATCAAAGACATAAGCTTGAACTTGTTGCTTGGTGTTTGAGAGTTTGTAGAAAGCATCAGAAGCCTTATCAGACAAGGCACGATACTGAACAGAAGCAACCACAGTAACAAACACATTGTCCTGAAATTCAACAATATAGTTTGCATAAGATGAAAACTTTTAAAAAAAGAAACAATCAAATTAAAATCCAAGATAAAGAAATGCTAAAAATGAAACCTTTGTTTTTGTTTCACAACGAACATCAAGCTGATTCACACGTAATGAGAGCCTTCCAGCCAACTTGTATCCACAACACCAAGGCATACAGTGACAACCGGGTTCAAGTACTTTATCAAACTTTCCAAAATGTTCTTTCACAGCTACAGTGGATTGCCCCACTTGAATGCATCCAAAACACTGACCCATGATTCAAATCTGAAAACAACAAATTGACTCAATATATATGAGTAAAAATTAGGAGTGTATATAGTTATCAAAGATTCCAATTACATTAACAGATGTTCAAATACATTAAGAGATGTTCAAATACACCTAGAAACAAAATTTGACCACTATTTGAATGTGAGATTGAAACAAAATGTTGCTTCAAGGGAAAAACATTTTGTACAAGTAAAGTAGCAATGTCGAAATCAAGTCAGGGGAAGGAATAGTTGATAAGATGATCAGAATTCTGAATCTGCCACTTGATTTGACTTATGAAAATCAAATAAATGTGATCGAAAGTAGGAAGTTTTTTTGACTTATTTGCATCATTTCTATAGGGAAACAGTAAATCGAGTAAAGAGAGGTTTAATCTTCTATTGACGCAACCAGAAGCATATGCACAGTTAGTTTTCCAGTGTGAAACAATGAAATTGCAATATTCGTTCTACATCCAATTTACAAAAAGACGCGCGAAAGTCAAAACCCTATAAAAAAATTGCAACAAAACAGAGATCAACAAAACAATTAGGACCACAATGAAACTCGATTAACTTAGGCAATGAAATACAAAACATTTCTTAAACAGTTTATGTAATCGAAATACAGAAAATTTTATAGATTATAATGAAAAAAAAAAAACTAATCAGCATCAAAAAGGAAACAGGTTATGCTAGCATAAAAAGCAAAACACAAAACCCTAGAAAAATTATCCAAAAATAGGAATGAACCGAACAATTCGCACATTTTATCGAATTACACAATGATCTTCGATTAACTTACTCAATCAAAATACAAAAGAATCTAAGACGGTTAACTTATGCAATCAAAATACAAACAAAAAAAAAATCCGTACATTATAATGAAACAACTTATCAGTATAAAACATCTATAACATCCATAAGATCGATTCAGAAAAGAAACAAGTAACAATTGCAAAAAAGCAAGAATTGAACTTACGTTTTGATTAGGCGCGTTAAGCGTTTGAAGATCGATGAGGAAGATGAGTTTGAAAAGCGGCCTGAGTTTTGTTTTTGTTGGTACAGAATATAGTGTACGGGTGTTAACTGCCTTTCGAGATTTTCTCTGCCGTTGGCACGATTCGCGTGTATTCCAAGTTTTTTAAAATGACGAAAATACCCCTTGGTGCAACTGGAAATGTTTTAAAATAGATTGCTTTTCAACCTTTGACACCGAAACATATATATTTTTTTTAATTTTCAAATAATTCCTCCGACTTTTGAATACTAATTTAAATTTTTGGTGATTTCAATGTGCTATGCATATTGATATAATTCGTCCCACTTGCTAGCTGCTTGAATCGTTCTACAAATATTTGGCCCATGTTCTTTTTAATTAAATATTTTACTTTGACTTGTATGGATATAAAATAGAGAAAATTACAAAAATGTCCCCTTCTTTTAGTTCATTTTTGCAATTTTAGTCGTGAATCATTCATCTTGCATTTATGTCCTAATTTTCATGTTTAATAATGGTCTTGGTCTATACGATCTGTCTGTTTAATTTAAAAATATGACAATTGTACCCACAAACAAACTAGAAATATATCGTTTATTGATTATCAATGTTATACACACACAACCTATTTAGCATTTACAGTTTACACGTTCAT